GTGCCAGGGCAGCCTGGGCAGGGACACAGTTGAACAGGAAGAAAGGACAGACCATGAAGTAGGTTAAGAAGAATTAACTTGGAGTGAGTGCTGGCATCCCACATGGGCACAGAAGCGAGTCTCCAGTATACCACCTCAGAACCGGTTCTCTGTTAACTTGCCTGGGAAGCTATGATTGATGACACAGTTGGTTGGGCCTCCACATCCACGTGGAAGACCAGAAGGGAGTTCCAGGTCCCAGACAGGCTTGGTCTGGACCTGGCTGTTGTGGCCATTTGAGGAATGAACAAACAGATCTCAATGTCTGTCTGTCTGTCTGTCTGTCTGTCTGTCTGTCTCTCTCTCCTCTCTCCTCCCTCCTCCCTCTTGCTCCTTCCCTGTCTCCCCCCTTCTGTCTTGACTCTGTGTGATTGCCTTTAAAACAAACAAAAACTTTTGAAAAATCAGGATTATCTCAAAGTGTTTATCTAGTTGTATTTGGAAACTAGTTCACCCAAAATGAAAACAAACAACAGGCAGCTCTGATTTAACCTATGTTATTCCCTTAATAATAATGTAAATAGTGGAGTCCAGGTAACTCTGGCAGTGGCACAGGTGTCTGGATCCCCCAGCCATGTGGTGTGCCAGGCTTTCTGCTGGCGATCCTGGCTCCCCATCACCACTGCTGGGCAGGGGGAGGGTCCTGGGCTTGTCCAAGCCTGAGTTCTGAGAATTTCCTCCACGCACAGCGATCATGCTGGCACGGATCTCGGATAGCTCTGGGCATGTTCAGGACCACGGCTCTGCCCACTGCCACCGTGGTGGTGGGTGGAGTCCAGTAAGTCTGAACAGCGGTGTGGGTGTCTGGATACCCCAACCACAGCCACATGCGGAGCCAGGCTTCCTGCTGGGTGTTGTGGGAGAGACTTCCACCATCACTGGTCTCCTGTTGGTGCTTCATCCCTTAGACCCTCACTGTGTCCCTGTTACTGGCTCTGCAGGGTGGAGCACTAGGGATCATAGCTCCCCATTCACCTCTGCTAGGCAGCAGGAGGGAGGGTCCTGGGCTTGTGTGTTCTGGTCAACTGGCACTGGGTTTTGCCCAATGGCCACCCATTGGCAAGCTCTGAGGTTTGGGGTATATAGAATTACTCCCTAGGGACATCATGGATAAGCCACTGTATGTGTAGGTGAGAAATGAATCCAGAGGGACACCCAATGACAGGGCTATTGTACTTGCAGGTAAGCGAGGGGACTGAAACCTCGTGGTTTGGAGGGGAGAGATCTGAAGATCTTTATGGGTCAGACTGATGCACCAGCCCACATGGGAGTCTTGATATGGGCTTGTTAGCTTGGAACATGGCTGACCACCAAACACCAGTGCATAAGCAAACTATGGCTGGGGGCCTGTCTGGCAGGGTTGTAGATCCCAATACCTGACAGTAAATGTCAGTTCAGTGGGTGGGTGTCATTAGACTGGGCCATGACATGCAAGAGAACCACATCTGGGGTTGGACTCTGGGGAATATGTGGGTCCAATCCTATGGAACTACAAGTCCCACTGGTTAGAGCATTGGGGTGTTGAGGGGCTGAGCTAGGCATGACCATGGAACTCACTGATGCTCACCGGTACTGGGGCTGGGAACAAGCAGGGCAGGTCCAGGCTGCAGCACCCTCATGAGTACCCTAAAACAGGGTGTCGGGTGGGTCGGGCCAGGCTGCACCAACTCATACAAAGGCCAGGACAGATGGGGCAGGCCATGCTGGGCAAGGGCCAAGCACCCACTGGCATGTTCTGAGTCTGGTAGTGGCATGAGTGGGGAAACCTGGGAAACTCTCTTAGTGGGTCATAGCTCCCATTGATGAGCATGTGGTCCAGGTTTGGGTGTTGGGCAGGCTGGGCAGGGTAGCTCCATCTGTCAGCAAGTATGTGAGTTGATTTTGGAAGGAGGTGGATTGGGCGAGGCCAAGCAAACCATAGCCCACTGGCAAGTACAGAAACCAGGATGGAGTGCAAGTAATGCCGGGCTAGCCTGCCATACCTACTGGTTTGCATGAGCTAGGGATGATAGCAGATTGAGCAGGGCTAGGTTGTAGCACCTTCCAGCAAGAGTTCGGACAGTTTTTACCTGCTGGCAAACCCGAGTGCCAGAATGGTGTATAGTTCATGCCAGGTTGGGCCACAGTACCAGCCAGTTCACATCAGGGCTGAGACTGGGGGCTGGTTGAGCTGGCCAGGCTGTAGTCCTTACTAGAGTGAGCTGGAACTGGGGGCAGGTCAGGCCGGGCTGGACTCACTACGGCCTCTGGCAAAAGCCAAGGTGAGGCAGGTCATGCCAGACTGGGCTGCAGTCAATTGCTGCCCAGTCAATTGTCAACCAGCAGACGTGAGACCCAGGGGAAAGTGGAATAACGTGGTAGGGGGCTGGATGGAGCTCCCCTGCTGGGCCACTATTCCCAATGGTGAGCATGAGGCCTGGGATTGGGAGCAGACCAGGCCGGGCAGGGTTTCAACACCTGTTGGACTGCACGTAAACTGGATCAGAGACAAACCAGGCTCGGCAGACTGTACCTACTGGCACATACATAAGCCAGAGAGGGTGAGGGTTGGCTGGGCTTTGCCATATCATCAGCTAGCAGATGCTAGCATGGGGAAAAACTTGTGTCAAGCTAAATTATAGTACCACCCAGAGAGTGCAAGATCCAGGAGTGGGAGTGAGTCAATTGTCAATTAGGTAAATAATGGGTACCTTCCTCTTGGGTTGCCACTCCTACTGGTGAGAGTGAGAACCAGGACTGGGGCAGGCATGGCTAAACAGAGAGTGGCACCCGCCAGCACATATGTGGGCTGAATAGGGAAACTGGTTGGGTTAAACTAGGCTTCAATGCCAATTGACACGTATAAGAACGGAATGGGATGTGGGACAGACAAGACCAGTATGCTGTACATAATGTCAAGAACGGGAACCAGGGCAGGGGTCAGGTCTGGTGGGGGTTATTGTGTGTCTCTCCAACTAGGACACAACTCCCACTGGTTTTTTGTGTGGGTCAAGTGTGCATGGGCAGGATCAGGCTGGACTGAAACACCCATTAGTTTGTACAGACGACAGGGCTGAAGATAAATGAGCCAGCAATTGCAACTAACAGTGTGAACATAAGCTGATATGGATGACAGACTGTGTTGGATCCTGTATTGGCAAGCATGCACAAGAATCAGGTCTGGGATCACCTCAGATGAAGTTTCTTTGGGAATCCTCCCAAATGAACCACTGGACAAAGAATTCCAACCATGGAGAAAACTGCAGGTTCCATGGTCTGACCATGGAATGCATGTGTCAGAGTTGGGCCTCCTCAGTGGCTTAGACAGAGCAGTGAATAGCATATCCAGATGCCTATGGAGGATGTGGCAGTACACTGGGGCTTGCAGAGGATACCTGGTACCATAATAGAGGATGAAGGACAAAATAAACTGATCAACTGCCCCAGCCAAGTGCTGACAACGAATACTTGGGCAAATGGAGACTCTAAGGTGGACTATGTTAACCAATGGAGTCTGAGCACATTTATTTCATCACGACTGGAGTGGCAAGATCGACAGCAATATAGAACTGTTGAACTATCAAAACCACTTGAGCAGGACCCTGGGTGCATGCCTCAGTGGTTGAGGGGGATGGTGGGGAGGCTGGGTGTGGCTTTTCCCTTTATCTCTCCCCTCCCCCCAGATATAGGAAAGAAAAAAAAGAATGTGAAAACAGTGGTCTCACCCACTTTCCTCTAACCCTTGACTCTTTGCATCCTAATCAAATATGCAAAAATTATCAAAAATAAAATTTATACAATTAAAAAAATGATGTAAATACTTTCACTCTGGTTTCAAATTAACAAGCCCCAAATCCCTGATTATCTTAGCCCATTCTCAGAGAACAAATTCCAAGATTTTCAAGTAGAAGAGTGACACATAGAAAGAGGTCAGACTGGGGAAGGTTTGTTAGTGTGGCAGAGTGAAAATGGCAGAGGCTAGAGCTGGGGAGTCCTGTTGGTTTCTATTAAAATAATGCAATTGTGAGTCTACTAAGTCAGTTGGTCACAACATGCGTTACAAAGAAGAGGGGACAGAGGAGAGATAAACTTGAATTGAGGACAACAGTTGAATGGAAAGGCAGGAATACCAGGTGATTCAGGCACTTAGTCAGGGGACAGATGAGATTTTGATTCTATGAATACATCAATACGTCAATTTTTACTTCCAAAGGCAACAGTGAGGAGCGCTGTGGTTTTAGCAGCTTCTGAGACCAGACAGGCCCCTGGACAGTTAGTCAGCAGCTCTGCTGGCCTGAAAGGCCCCTGGATTCCTTCATACCCGATTCCAAAAAAGTGGAAAGGGAACAAGGGCCCGAGAGAATTATGCACGTCTACCCAAGCCCACAACATGGTGCCTAAAGACTTAGACTATAACTAGGAGAACTCAGAAACAGCACGTTAAGAACTGTCAATCAAAACAGAAACCGCTTTCTGATGGCTGGCATAACTCCCCAGCTACATAAAGCTTCTTGCCATCAAAATCATAGTTGGCCCAACCTTAACTAGCAGCTGAAGGAGAAGATAGATCTGCAGATTTACCAAGGTAGGGATTTCTTTCCCTTACTTCAATCTCTCCATAAAGTTGATCAAGCATGCCACGTGCATGCTTTTAGGTATTTAGCACAAGCAAGAGGCTATGAGACTAATGGTGAAATCAACCTTGGCACTTCGTAATCAAAACCCACAGCCATTTCACAGTTGCCCAGAACCCCAGAAGATGACTCAGTCAAGCGTAAAAGGAGGTTCACTGAAAGAAACAGGGAAAGAGACTCTCCAAATACAAGAGATCAGAGGCCTGGAAAGATGGCCGGCTGAAATCACCAGGTTCTGGCTGGGTTCACTGGCCAATGACCATTAGCCCAGCTCTCAACAGGACGTAGGGAGGCGGTGGGGCTGTCTGTCAGTGTCAAGTTGCAGCTTCTCCAGGACAGATCCCTTACCTTCAGACAGGGACAGATCATCAGCTGGAGACACTAGGTCTGCCTGAGAAGTGAGGGCTCCACTCACATGAGTTGTAATTTGATTCGTCAAGATAACCTGTGAACAGACAGGGGACAAGGGAAGGGGGAGGGAGAAGAAAGAGAGAGACCAAATTAATGATGAGGGCTATCAAAAGGCAGACTGGGGTTTAGGGCAAGACTGATAAGGACACAGGTAGGAAAAGCCCAGCTCTGACTTTCACCAATTTTTATCTTTGAGCAAAACCTTTTGGCATTCAAAACCCACAATACTGAGGAGATACGCTGATTTCTCCCATCCCTACTCTCACCCTCCGCCCCCAGATTTTTAACTGCTAATCAATTTTTTTCTAAATTCTCAGTACATTAGGAGTGAAAGATACCATCGCATGAACTAAAAAATAAGATTAAAATTAAAAAATAGAAGGCTAACCAGAATGAAGATGCACATGTGCAGACTTTATCAAACTTCAATTTTGAAAATTACATCTATAACTTAAGATACTGGTGGTGCCCAATAAATGTGATGATTTAAAACTTGGATGCCTGTGGCTTGTTTCCCAGTTAACTCCCAGTTAAAAGCTTAATTGGGAATTTTGAAACAGGAATAATATTTGCCTCTTACAAGGACATCTGTTGAATGGTTTAATTTTAAAATTTCTCATTTTTAAATGTATTTAGAGTCAGAGAGAGAGAGAGAGAGCAAGAAAAGAGAGAGCGGGTCTCCACTCATTGATCTATTTGCCAAGCATCCACAATGGTAAAGCTGGGCCAGCCCTACCAGCAGCTCGATTTGATTCTCCCATTTAGGTGACAAGAACCCAATCACTTGAGTCATCACTTGTTGCCTGTCAGAATCTACATCCACAGGAAGCTAGAAACAGGACCCGGGCAGGGCCCCTAACCCAGGCACTCCAGTGTCTCAACCATCAGGCCAAACACCCACTCTAAATCATCTGTATTCTAATAAAAGCAGTCCAAAGTGTCACTGTGTATGTAAAGCACAAGTTAGCATAACTCTACTCACACAGAATAAAGATTTTAGCATTTAAAATTCCTGGAGAGAACACAAAAACTACCTAATTCACACGGTTCAATGCCATACAATATTTTTACTTTTGACACTATTAAGGAACTATTTCTTTCTTTCAAAACCCTCATTCCCGATTAACTGCAACCACTTCTGACGATCTGGCTGCTCCAGGCATGGGTAGAAATTGTGAGTACGTGTCCCTTCCGGAAGACATGTCCCTTTTGGAAAGGGCACCGACTGAAACGTACAGCTCAATGCCTGGAATAGGCAGGCAGCTGACTCTCTCATTTGTCCCAAGCAGCAGCTCTGGGCTTCCTTGCCACCTTGATTTCAACAAAAGGGGACATCATCTTCATTCTTCATTAGCCAGCCTGTCAGCCACACTTCTGTCACTGTGTCTTGAATGCACAAGTGACACATTATAAATCCTATGCTTGTGGCAGCTTAATTGAGGACCAAGAGGACGGCAGGGTCAACCAAAGAAACCAAGTCCTCTGTGAGCAGACAGTCTTCTCGGGTCTTTGTGTGTCGACCAGGTATACAGAGTCTCCAGTTACTTGTCAGTGCTGATCAAGTTTGCAGGAGTCCACTCCTGGGTGTGCATCTGAGCTCTCACATTCTTTTGTATTGCTACTTCTCATAAGGGCTGGTGAGACTCACATGAGATATATCCTCAGTTAAAATGACTGGAGATAGTCGAATAGCCTGCCCCTTTGTAAACTAACTATTCACACTGAAGAATATCAGTCAGGATTTGTGTTCATGTCTCTCTATATAACATAGGAGATGAGCTTTGCATTCCTATAAGACTCAGTTCCAATTCTGAAACTGTATACCTTGAGAAAACTCCTCAACCTTTGAGTTTCATTTGTTTGTGGGTAAAATAATATTTACTTTGTAGAATTACTGTAAGAGTGAGATGAGATACTTAGCTGTGTCTGGCATATTGTAAACATTCAATAAATGGAAGCCATTGTTGCTATTATTGTTAGACTTGCCTTTAGATTAGTGATGTAAAGTTAACAAATCCATATATATCACATATTTGGTTTTTTATTGACATTATCATATTCTGTATCATGATATACTTTGGCATACCTGGTCACATCTTCCAATTCCTGTCTTTTCTAAGTTTGTTTAATTTGTATAAAAACTTCAGGAAGACAGCAGTTATTTAAAGCAAGGTCAACAAGAGACTGACATTGCTCTAAAAAAGACAGATGGTCTTCAAAAGTTCATTGAAAATGCACACTGTGAAAAGACTATGCATGGATTTCAAAATTGTTGTACACAAAATAAATTTATATTTTAACACGATTTCCCAGGAATGTTTTGAAGTCCCCTTTTACCATGTGTTTTAGCTACTGGAGAACAAAACAGCAGTCTATTGTAGGAAAAAATAGCATGAAACTTCTCAGAGATCTAATGAGAGTTCATAATTCTAAGTGTATGGAATTCTTAAAAATGATGACTTGCTGAAAATTACCAGAAATCCAATGAAATGAGTACAGAAAATACAATGAAAACAGGAACTCAGAGTGAGGTGCCATGTCTCTTTTGGGGACACTGGGAAGATGAGGATGCCATATGACTTCTCTAGAAACTTACAAGTTAAATGATAAGATATTGACTAAAATATTTAAACCACATGTTCTCAATTTTATTTTGACTACACTGGTGCTGAGATGGAAACTTGTACTGAGATGATAGCTTTCTTGCACAGAACTAATGAAATGATACCAGGCAAGATCTAAAAACCAAACTACAGATTTAAGTACTTCAAAAGCTACCCATCCTCACTTCCACTTCCGATGGAAGAGTAGACGAAGAAGAAAACATTTTCACTCTTCAGTGGCAAGCAGACATGCTCTCCTCTGTGGCTTTGCTGAGCGTCCTCCCCCCTGTTAACTCTGAATCAGAAGGCCAAGAGGCTGTAGGAACACAGCCACCACACTGAGGGGCTTGCTAATCACATCCTCTTATGGAACTGTTGTAGTTTTCTAAACCATGCTCGCCAGGATGACAGATCAGAAACATCTCCCGAAGCACTGGTTACAAATAATCACAGCTTGGGCAGCAGCCTATAAGCGAGTTTCCCTTTAGGGTTCTCTATGGACCTGAACATTGGGCTCCCAAAATAAAGTAAAAAATACCACGGCAAGTTCCCAACAGAGTCTGAAGAGTTCTGACCTGTACTCCAGAGGGGCTTTCCTGTTCCCTTGCCTCATTTGAAAAGTGGGGCTGCTTGGTACTAAATTTGCAAAAGTACATCTTGCATAGTGCTTAGGAATCAGTCAGAGTTCAGATCCTGGGCTTCCTAGCTATGTCACTCCCTGGCTGTGTGACACTGGACAAATTCCTTTTCTTAGTAAAATATTTAACTCACAAAATGAGAGGGAATAAGTTGGGCAATGCATTTAAAGTCCACAGTACAGTACTCAGCCTATGGTAAATGATACCCCTTTCCTTGTCAGTAGTTTATACTCTCCTGATTTGTATCTTGCTTGTCCAGACAGAAAACCCATGCCTGATTCCCTTTTGTCCTACATACAGTCTGCTGCTCAGAACAGATGAATTTTTGCTTTTTATATGTTCAAAAGCAATACAGTTTAATGCTTGCCATTTCCCTAAATCTATGGCTAATCAAAAACATACGTAGCTTCTACCACCACTACCATCAACTGTCAGTGCAAAGGTCAGATGGGACTCATTATATCTGAAAGTCATGATTACATCAGGAGAGAGAGTCCAGGTTGAAGTATGCTATTGAGGAAGAATACTATGCACCTACACGAGAAAAAAAAAGTCTTATAAGTTGTATCAAGTAACTACGCTCTTAAAGATATCACATACTCTTAAATTTTCCTTGAACTGCTTTCTTGGCTATAGGATACTTCAGAGGTACAACTGTGCATGAAATGGCCCCCTCATACAATGTCACATAGACCTTGAGCCCTGTTTTTAATGCATGTCCCAGGGTTTCAAGTTTTTCCTTGCACCAATGAGCTTCTCTAAGCATATCCCCTTCAAGGTCCATGACTTACACACAACCTAAGAGAACCATTAAGACTTAAGAAAAGAAGGAAATCTGGGGTACAGGTCCACAAACTACCCGAAAGGTCCAACTTCCACAGAGTACAGGCCTTATAAGCTATAGAAAAGAAATGGAGAGATGGGGACCAGACAAAACTGGGAAGAAAAGGTCAAGTGGGTGGTTGGGAAATCAGCGTGATTTTGGTTAGAAGGTAGAGGGTCCTGGCATGGAAGATGAACCAATACACAAACAAAAATATGTGACTCATTTCCACCAAGTATTCACAAGCTGAGGGCAGCAAATATCTTGAGATAAGAAAGTAGCAGCAGAAAAAGCTAGTCATCAGCAGTCACGGGACTGGGAACACTGAGCTTGACTCGTGGCTGGTCTATGTGTCCAGTGGCGTTCCCCTGCTCTCTGCAGACGCATCTGTGCCTCCGCTAGGGAGGACTAGGGTATGTCAAGGCCACACCCTCAGCCTACTCACTCTTGGCCCAGACTACATTCTGTGTTAGGGGCCACTGCTCTGTCTAGTCGGATCCACCTTCCATTAAAGGATTAGAAATATCTTTGCAAGAGTAACCTACTAAAAGTACTGGAACGCAGAGGACAGAAGGGAAAACATGGGACAGCCCTGTAGAAATCAGAGTGGGGGAACTGCCAGGCTGAAGGCACAGCCTTTGATGCACGAAGGTGTCATGAAAGGTGACACAGAGAAGAGGGAAGTTGTGGTTTGCGGAGGTTAGCATAGGTAGAATGTGTTAGCTGATCTTGTTGGTTCAGTAAAGGAAACATTCACAATTAGCAAAAACAGTAACTCAGTATTTATAAGGAAGATTTATTTCAAGACCACAAATATGATCAATGTCATCATTTAACCTTTTGTTGGGGGCAGCGGGGCAGGTGAGAAGTGGGCTTGGTAATATCCTTACCTTCTACTGAGAGTACTGGAGTCACCTTCCCGAGATAAACAGTGTGGATGAGAAAAGAGTAGGAGAGGGGCCCTCGCCTC